AACTCATGCAGAATCCACACTAATAGCATTTCAACATAACAATTAATCAAATTAAACTCAATTAGATGCTTGTAAAGCAAACTAATATAGCAATTCATATTTATGCATGTCTCTTAAATAAATCCTGTTTTTTTTAAAATGTCAGATATGCGTGTTTGTGTGTGTGTTTACAGACAACACCCTGTGACTCATTCGCAGCCATTTCTGCAACTTCTACCAGATTTTTCTCCATCATTGTTAATAATAAATCGACTGTAGCCTGAAGCCACGTTGTAATCTGCAACGTGACTCATACAGATGTTTGGATTTTGACAGGTGTGTGTGTGTGTATATGTGTGTGTAACAGTGGATGCAGCAGTGATGTCAAACATGGTGGCTCCCGATGCAGTGGTGCATGCTCATTAAACACACATACACACACACACACACACACACACACGTATCCATACTGCATTCCCCTCTCCCTCAGTCTACACCTATGCAGAAAAATTCTGACAGTGCTGATATTTGGAAATACGATGCAAGAATTCAAATCATACGAACAACAGCAACAACAAAATGTGTAAATGAGTCTTACACTGATCTCCAAGCACAACCAGGGGCCTGTTTCAGTAAGGAGGTTCAAACAACTCAGAGTTTAAACTTGAACTCTGAGTTGATTTACCGAGAGATTAAAAACTCAGAGTTTTCGGTTTCAGAACAGCTGATCTGAGTTGGGTCAATCAACTTCGAGTAGACCAACTCAGAGTTAAGCGCGCACACCGTGACTTTAAAAAGGCATTATCAATGGAGCGCAGACATTACGAGTGACTATGGCAATATCTTATAAAAGAGATCACCATTTCTTTCTCCAGCTAAACTTGATGTTCTCATGCAAAGTTATAGCAAATATGAGCGTATATATTTGAAAAGTAGCAACCATCAGTGAAGAAGAGACAGTTAGCGTGGGAAAACAGCTGCTCAAGTTAATGCCTAATTTCACTTTTTAAGTATTTAAATATTTAAGTATAATAAAATAAGTAATGTAATTTGTGACGTTTATATATTTTTTCTAAACTTTTTAATACATTTATTAGTTTAAAATGATTTAACAGTGCACTTGTGTGTCTGCCTTTTTAATTGATCAAGTTATAGAGGTTAATATAACATTTAGAAGGTAAGGAGTACTAAAAATAATTTTTAGAAAGAATAATAATCCCATTAATCTAGTTACATGCATGTCGAAGGTGAATTTAATGTAATTATTTATTAAAAAAGGATAAGCCATTCTCGTACAGTTCTTCTGACTAAAATGTAGGCAATAGCTATGTTTCCATCCAAATATATTACATAAATGTATGTGCAAAACTGGAATATTGCATAAAAGATGCGAATAAAATTCCATCCAACGAGTCAAAGAGAAAAAAATCGTCACTTCCTGATTAAACTGGCACCAAATATCAACAGTAAAAACAGAATTTACTGTGGTAGAAGAAGCTGCGTCAATTAATTCTTTATTTAGCCTAATTAATGTACTTGCGCCTCGATGTCAGAAGACAATGCTGAAACACAATGAACACGTGGGGGCGTCTGAAGCCATGAGACGCGGAGACTCTTGACATGCACCAGACGTTCGGAGGTAATTAATAATATACACTAATACTGAAACAGTTAAGGCATTTTAGAATGACTAAAACAATATTTAAGACATGTTACAGTGTGCCCAGCCTGCTGGTTTGTCCATTTACACACATTTTCATTATCATATGATCATGATCTTTTTTTTTAATGTACATACTGTAATTTGTTCAGTAAAAGTGTTTCCATCGTAGTTTATGCGCACATTTTCTATCGAATAAAAGTTTATCCTACTCAGTTATGCGCGTTTTTTATGCATATTTTAAAAAGTTATGTGCATCATGACATTTCTATCAATCGTTTTTATGCACGTCCAAAATGAGCATTAAAATAGGTGGGTGGAAACGTAAGACTTAGGCGAGAAATACCACTTCATCTTTAAAAAAGGGGAGGAGACCGACAGAAACTCCGAGTTTAGAGAATAAAACCTGCTTCTGACCAGGTTAGATTCACAGAGTAAGTTACCACAGTAACTGACTCTGAGTTAAAGTTACCTTTCTTTCAGAAACAGGCTTGATTTACCCTGCTTTCTCGAGTTTAACAAACCTGCCATTTTGAAACGGAAAACCCAGAGTTTCTCTCATTTCAGAGTTAAAATACTCTGAGTTTTCAGTTAACCTCCTTTCTGAAACAGGCCCCAGATCTCTGAACAATCAATAAATAAACATCTTTAGTGGTGTGACCAGACCACAGCACAGCCTTTCAGCTCAATACACTATGTTCTGATCAATAAACCGTGAATCTACAAGACAACTACAAACATATCAATGCTTGACTGTTTTAATATCTAATTACAAAATAAAATCAACATCAAAACAACTCTATGCATGATCTGATCTCTAAACAGAATGCAGTGAAATCAAGCATGATCTGATCTCTGCATTAGGAATTGAGTACATAAAGACATTATATAAAGAGATTAGTCAAGTCTTGGCACTAAAAATGAAATAAAATCCTGACATTAGGATGTGTCTGTAAAGTTCTGGTCTCAGTATAGTATATAATAGATAAAGATGCATGATCTGATGTCTAAACAGAATGTAAAATGCAGTGAAATCAAGCACAATCTGATCTCTGCATTAGGAATGGAGTACATAGAGACATGATGTGAAGAGATTAGTCAAGTATTGCCACTAAAAATGAATTAAAATCCTCACATTAGGATGTGTCTGTAGGTGTTCTGGTCTCAGTATAGTACATAATAGATAAAGTTGTATGATCTGATGTCTCAAAAAGGTAAAATGCAGTGAAATCAAGCACGATCTGATCTCTGCATAAGGAATTGAGTACATAAAAACATTATATGAAGAGATTAGTCAAATCTTGGCACTAAAAATGAATTAAAATCCTCATATCAGGATGTGCCTGTAGTGTTCTGGTCTCAGTATAGCATATACTAGATAAAGATGCATGATGTGATGTCTAAACAAGGTAAAATGCAGTAAAAACAAGCATGATCTGATCTCTGCATTAGGAATTGAGAACATAAAGACATTATATGAATAGATTAATCAAGTCTTGGCACTAAAAATTAATTAAAATCTTCATATCAGGATGTGCCTGTAGTGTTCTGGATTCAGTATAGCGTATACTAGATAAAGATGTATAATCTGATGTCTAAACAAGGTAAAATGCAGTAAAAACAAGCACGATCTGATCTCTGCATTAGGAATTTAGTACATAAAGATATTATATGAATAGATTAATCAAGTCTTGGCACTAAAAATTAATTAAAATCTTCATTTCAGGATGTGCCTGTAGTGTTCTGGTTTCAGTATAGCATATACTAGATAAAGATGCATGATGTGATGTCTAAACAAGGTAAAATGCAGTAAAACCAAGCATGATATGATCTCTGCATTAGGAATTTAGTACATAAATATATTATATGAAGAGATTAGTCAAGTCTTGGCACTAAAAATTAAATAAAATCCTCACATTAAGATGTGTCTGTAGTGTTCTGGTTTCAGTACAGCATATACTAGATAAAGATGCATGATCTGATGTCTAAACAAGGTAAAATGCAGTAAAAACCAAGCATGATCTGATCTCTGCAATGAGAATTGAGTACATAAAGAGATTATATGAAGAGATTAATCAAATCTTGGCACTGAAAATTAATTAAAATCCTCATATCAGGATGTGTCTGTAGTGTTCTGGTCTCAGTATAGCATATACTAGATAAAGATGCATGATCTGATGTCTAAACAAGGTAAAATGCAGTAAAAACCAAGCATGATCTGATCTCTGCATTAGGAATTAAGAACATAAAGACATTATATGAATAGATTAATCAAGTCTTGGCACTAAAAATGTATTAAAATCTTCATATCAGGATGTGTCTGTAGTGTTCTGGTTTCAGTACAGCATATACTAGATAAAGATGCATGATCTGATGTCTAAACAAGGTAAAATGCAGTAAAACCAAGCATGATCTGATCTCTGCATTAGGAATTGAGTATATAAAGATATTATATGAAGAGATTAATCAAGTCTTGGCACTAAAAATGAATTAAAATCCTCGTATTAAAATGTGTCTAGTGTTCAGGTCTCAGTATAACATATACTAGATAAAGATGCATGATCTAATGTCTAATCAGAATGTGAAATGCAGTGAAATCAAGCATGATCTGATCTCTGCGTTAGGAATTGAGAACATAAAGACATTAAATGAAGAGATGAATCAAGTCTTGGCACTAAACATTAAATAAAATCCCTACATCAGGATGTGTTTGTAGTGTTCTGGTCTCAGTATAGCATATACTAGATAAAGATGCATGATCTGATGGATTAATATAGCTTGCAGTGTCTATCACCCTTTTAAAAGCTGCTAACTTATCTGAATAAGAAATGTGGGCATACAAACAAAGACTTAAAGCTAACGTCAATCAAATCACATCAGGCAAATTCAATACACTGTTATTAGTAACAGAGTCCGACCCGTTAGCTGGTTAGCATCTGTACTCACCTCTGGAAACTATTCACCCTCTTCATCTCGCGAATATTTACACAAACAAACACAGGTCTGGGGTCAGCAAAAATAATCGGATGATAACAAATGAATCGGATGTTCGAGGCCTCATTCACAAAAAAACAATCCCACTTCGACACATAACGCTTCCGTATCACCACAGCTCCCTCAAAATACCCTGAATCATCCGTAAAGCTGGGTTTTGTCACATCATTCCGTCTCTCGTCCGGTCCCCCTCTCTCCTTCTCTACCTTTAACGCTCTTTCTGTGACTAGCAAAAGCCGGAGTTGTACATTTTAAGCATTTTTTCTGCACATCTGATTGACAGGGAGTTCGACCAATGAGAGAGTGGTGTGACTGGGACGCTTGAAGCGTTCGTCCAATCACAGGCGCAAAGTTTCTCGCTTTGTTTGACGCAACAATAGTAGGCGGGGCGAATGATGGTGAGAGAGTACAAGACACGATTCAAACAGGTATGACAACTCAGTGAAGTAACACTGATAAGGACAAATGAGGCTTTCTTTTGTCACTTTGTTGGAATTTAAAACGGAAACTAAGTTTAATTAACCGAAGCCTGCTTTTATAAGTACCCAAGTGACATTGCAGTGTCCTTTTACCATGGTGCCACCACGTAAATACTAGTGTATTTTATATGGTAAGTGTGTTTGGTATCAAATACCACAATTTTAATGAAGTACCTAAGACTACCATGTAAATATCGTGGTGTATGGAAAATGTAGGCATTTATTTTCATAGTATGTGGTATTACCACATGTGTCTTTGGTACTGAAAGTACTTTCCATTGGTTTTCAGTTTTACAGCATCCACATTAAAAATCTATTAATCAATACTTTTGTGTTTTTTTTTTTATTATACCACAGTATATAAGTGTGTGTGTGTGTATAGTACATACACTTTATTAGGTACACCTTACTAGTACTGGGTTGGACCCTCTTTCACCTTCAGAACTGCCTTAATCCTTCGTGGCATAGATTCAAGAAGAGACTGGAAATATTCCTCAGAGATTTTGCTCTATATTGACATGATGGCATCCCACAGTTGCTGCAGATTTGTCGGCTGCACATCCATGATGCGAGTCTCCAGTTCCACCACATCCCAAAGGTGCTCTATTAGATTGAGATCTGGTGACTGTGGGGGCCATTTGAGTACAGTGAACTCCTTGTCATGTTCAAGAAACCAGTCTGAGATAATTCACGCTTAATGACGTGGCACGATAAGCAGCCATTAGAAGATGGGTATGCTGTTGTCATAAAGGGATGGACAGGATCCGCGACAATATTCATAGGCTGTGGTGTTGACACGATGCTCAATTGGTGCTAATGGACCCAAAGTGGGCCAAGAAAATATCCCCCACTGTGGCGTAGCACATGGTGCGATAAGGGGGCCCCGTGCGATTCCCCCCTGATTCCCACCCACCAAATACTGCAGTATAATTTAGTTTTTACTACAGTAAACTGTAGTGTATTTTAGCACAATATACTGTCATGTCATTTTCATCCGCTTATCCGGGGCAAAGTTGCGGGGGCAGCAGTTTTAGGAGAGAACTCCAGACTTCCCTCTCCCCAGACACTTCCTCCAGCTCATCCGGGGGGATCCTAAGGCGCTCTCAGGCCAGCTGAGAGACATAGTCCCTCCAGCGTGTCCTGGGTCTTCCCCCAGGGCTTCCCATGGTAGGACATGCCTGGAACACCTCCCTAGGTAGGCATCCTGGAGGCATCAACAGATGCTCCAGCCACCTCAGCTGACTTCTCTCAATGTGTAGGAGCAGCGGTTCTACTCCAAGCTTCTCTCGGGTGACAGAGCTCCTCACCCTGTTGATTGACTGGCAAATCAAGAGCTTTGCCTCCTCCATGAACCGCCACCTTATCATGGTGGAGGGGTTTGAGTGCATGAGTGATCCTAAGAGCTATGCTGTTGGGGGGGTAATGCCCCTGGTAGGGTCTCCCAAGGCAAAAAGGTCTTAGGTGACAGGTCAGACTAAGTGAAGTTCAACAATCCCTTATGAACTTAATTACATTGAGGACCATGACATTGCCCGGTATGGTGTAGCCAGGGCCCCACTCTGGAGCCAGGTCTGGGGTTGGGGCTCGTATGCGAGCACCTGGTGGCTTTTTTTTTTTTTTTCCACAGAACCTGGCCGGACATGGGACCATCCTCCTGTGGGCCCACCAGCTACAGGGGTAGTCGTAAGGGGCCGGTGCATTGTGGAACGGGTGGTGGTCGAAGGTTAGGACCATGACAACTCGATTGTCGGGCACAGAAAGGTACAATATACTTAGTTGTAGAAACTTACAGTATTGGCCAGTTTGTTTATATAGTAGGGATGTAACGGTATCAGAATTTCACGGTACGATAATACCTCGGTATGAATGGTACGGTACGGTATTTGAATATACGGTACGGTATTGAATCATTTACAGGAAAAACAAAACTAATGAAAAGACTCGAAAAAAAGAGCCAAAAGTGTTTATTTACCTTAGCACTGAACATATCGATGACATACAAATTAGCCATCTATCTGAAAGCTTTGAAACAGGAACTTCAATTTTTCAATTTTAATAACAAAAAACTATTAAACCATATAAAAAAAATAAAGTTTCGATTTAGTATTGTTGAAAACTCATCACATTCAACATTTAATCACTCACTCACATAGATAGAGATGTGTTTTTTAAGGAAAATTATCATATAACTATAATCTGGTAAAAGCTGGGATCTCTGGTCATGTCCCCTGCAACAGAAAAAAAAACTCATTTGGGACTGAGGTTTCTGTGACAGAGAGATATGATTTAGCCAAGGTTGACAGCAGTGGGTAACGTTGTCCATCGTCTTTCCACCACTTGAGAGGACAAGCCATGAGTGAGATAGAGGTCTCTTTGCGGTACAAGTCAATGTCTGCATCAATCTAACAAGTGTGCTGTGTTCTGCAGTCCCCATGACTGTTATTAGTCGTATTCCCCAACTTATATTTCACCAGAGTCTGGCAGTGCCTGCATACTGTTTTTTTCTTTGTCTGTCACCTTTTCTACTTTTTCGTATGTTTTTAGAAAGAAACCGAAATGCTTCCACACATCCGATTTAAAACCCGCTTTAGGTTCGATCATTTCCAGCTCTTTTTCTTCCCCGCTACTAGCAACACACTCCATTTCCGCATTACTGGACCTTTTGTGACAACAGACCGCAAAGGATGATGGCCACGGCTAGGCTGATGGGAATTGTAGTTCCCGCTACCTCCCGTTCGCTTCATTCGCCTAAGCAAACTTTTCTCAGAAATATAGTTTTATTGAGTCATGCGCCTACGGTAATATTGAAAAAAATTACTATTGCGGTATGACGGTATTTACAATATTGTTACATCCCTATTATATAGTTGTTTAAAGTATAGTATTACCACAGTAGATTTATTAAGTACTTTAGTATGGTAAAAAACACACTATATTAGAATAAAGTACTATAGTATTCTTTCGTGTGAGCACTGTGCAGTTATGCTTCTGTTTTTCTGGTCAATTTCCCCTCAAGGATGAAGGAATATTTGTCTCGTTGGACAGTCTGCTGAACCATTACTTGTTGAACACACACACACACACACACACACAAACAAAATGCATTTCTAACCTCGTGTCGCAACTAATGCTAAGGGCAAACTTGCTCAATATTACTGTGAAATGGTGTGTTGGGGTGAGGAGCAGCCATGGCTCAGGGATTCTGTGGCCAGAAGCAACATTACATAAACCAGAATCAACAGCATTAAATGTCACCGAACATTTATGTAAGGCTGTTAACTGAATTAAAACGTCTGTGTTTTGTTTTGATACATTTTAGCTGCTTTTCTAGGACAAAAAAACGTACAAATTATTGCTAAAATGTGATTGTTTGGGGAGAAATGTTCAAGTTTTTGACATTTCTGCAAGAATAAACATTACAGAGTGAAGAGTTTTATATTATGTAAATACCGAGGTGAATATAAATCATCCGGCACCATGGTTATAAATACCTGTCCACAGTAACAGGATCAATTAACAGCGCTGCAGGGAGATTTACCTGTCCGTCTGACTGCAGGTCTCAGTCTCAGACTTTAAATGCTTGCCAGGTCATCATGGCTCCAACCCAGCTGGCAAAAATAGATGGTAATGTTCCCATTAAGTGGCGTTAAAACAGTTTCTAAAGGTTCCCGGGGCATTTTAAAATAACAATAATTCGATAAATGATTTAAATGTTTTATAAGTGTTTGTATGAGAGCTTTTGGAGATGGAATTGAGGATTGGAATATATCTTTTTGAACCATTTGACAACAATATAGCATTGTTTTGGTTGTAACACCACCTCTATGCATGCAAGATGTTACACTGAGGGAGTTCACAGAATTTTTATTTCACACATACTGAAATTAAAATAAACTTCACAAGCCTGTTTTGCCCTTTTTCCTTCTTGTTTAATTTCTCTACATGTGTATACAGTATTTAGTCCACACAAACAAAAGTAATCAATATCCAAAACTAAGCAGTCATTGAATGTAAACAGTCTGTGTAAATGATATAGATGGTTGGGTGAATGTTGCGTAGATGGATTTGAGTGCGATGCAATAAGATCCACTTCCTCACACTGGGAAAACGGTAGTATGATGAGGAATTTAAGAGTCACTGACCGTCATTCCACGTGTACACATATAGTTCATTTGCCAATGAGAAGCATAAAGAACGTTGAAACCAAAGCACCAACAAACACCTCATCTGAACATCTCTAGGACAACAGGGGCCTGTTTCAGAAAGGAGTTTAAGTGAAAACTCAGAGTATTTTAACCCTGAAATGAGAGAAACTCTGGGTTTTCCGTTTCAAAATGGCAGGTTTGTTAAACTCGAGAAAGCAGGGTAAGTCAAGCCTGTTTCTGAAAGAAAGGTAACTTTAACTCAGAGTCAGTTACTGTGGTAACTTACTCTGTGAATCTAACCAGGTCCGGAGCAGGTTTTATTCCCTAAACTCTGAGTTTCTGTCGGTCTCCTCCCCTTTTTTAAAGATGAAGCGTATTTCTCGCATTAGTCTTACGTTTCCACACACCTATTTTAGAGCTCATTTTGGAGATGCCCATAAAAACGTTTGATGGATACGTCGTGATTAACATAACTTTTGAAAATACGCATAATTAAACATGTGCATAACTGAGTAGGTTAAACTTTTATTTGATAAGATGTACATAAACTACGAAGTGCACTTAACAAATTACAGTATGTACATTAAAAAAAGGTTTGTT